AGCTCTCCACCACATGACTGAGCACAACTCAAGGAGGAACATTTACTGAAGCTGCTGCAACATTTACTGTCAGCACATGTTTCCATGTCAGCTGCTGTTTACCACCACAGAAGAAGAACAGCTTGTCCACATGCAGCCTCTGTGTCAGATCAATGCAGTGAAGCACACACATTGTTTAGTAAAGTCATGTTGTGGAGCTGTTTCACTGATCAATGACTGAGTCTGAAGGAGTGTGAGCCACATGTTTGGGGTGTCCAAATTCCTAGGCTGCATCCTTCAGAGGTCACATTTGTCACATCTGTAGGCCGATTACATCACAGCGACACAACGAAGGCTATCCAAATTCGTAGACTCCTCCAAATCCTTTTTCCCCCAAATTTAATGGATGGGTTGGGCGTATCCTTTGTGGCCCACCATATCCCAGAATTCATAGTGTGGGCCAGCCAATTCCAGTTTCCAACAATGGCGGCCACTACTTAGTTTTAATATTACTCTTATTATTCTTTCTGGGTCACAAAAAAAAACTTTTAACACATTTTCAGGCGAGAATGTAGCTGAGTAAACTTCAAAATATCTGCTCGGTTTATCAAGACATCACATATTTGAAAAAGTGGTCCGACATTTTCGGAGACGTCTGTTACCCACCAGCTCGATAGCTAGCCGGGGCGAGAACAGCGAACTCCCGGCACAGCGTTTTCAAACCCCCCAGGTTTAGCATGATATATAAGTCACTCAAAAATGTTATTGTTTGGCTTTTTCCAGTGTTTTATTTGTTTGTAAGTAAATCAGTTTGGCTGAGATTAAAGTTATGGTTTTCACACAGCTGAATAAACGTCAACCGGAAAACTGATTAAACAGAAGTGTGAGACGGTCGAGAGTTTACACCAGTGTCCTGTTATATTATAGATAGCAAGGAGCAGACGGCCGAGTTTATTAAACTCCACCAAGACAGCTGGTGACACAAACTAAAGGCTGAAGAGCCAGACCAGGTAGACCGCGAAGGCCGGGTCCTCAGGTGGATGCAGCCTATGAATTTGGACACCCCTACAGTCAAGGAGCCACCAGAGGACACCTGCTAACCATTGGCATTATAGGTAGTGTAGTAGGAGACACTCACCTGACATGAAGTACTGCATAAAATGAAATAAGACTAAAACCACACAAGGAAGCAGGAAAATCAGAAGAAACACGAGAAGACAAAACAGGAGAACTGCGTCCCAGAATGACAGTTGTTCTGTGGAGAAAAAAAAGACTTCTGATCTCTGACCTCTGTTTACTGCATTGACCTCTTACCTCTTCCTACAGCACTGACCTTTGACCTGCAGCACAATTTTCTGTCTCAGTATGTCTTTGTCTCTGTAGATGGTGCAGATGTATTGTCCCGTGTCTTTCACTTTGGGCTGTTTCAGGGTCAGACTGAGGTCTCCAGTTCTCAGCAGGTCTTCATTCATCTTCGTTCGGTCTCTGTAAACTTCATCCTGAGTCATGATGTCATCATTTCTGTTAGAATACTCATGGACCGTGATGAGTCCGAGGTCAGAGCGAGTCCACTCCACTGCGGTGTCCTCAGGCAGGTCAGGTGTTGTGTTGCAGGGCAGGATGACAGACTGTGACCCTTCCCTCACCATCACCTCCACCTGCTGGTCTGAGAGGACAAGAAACCACAACAAACTGTAGAAGCAGCAGAAAAATGTTTTGTGTTGGGTGTTGTACAAAATGTCATCTAGTAATGTATGTACAGAAATGTGTGTGCTATGCCTCTCTGAGCTGAACACACACATCTGCGCACAAGCTGAACGACCTCCATGAGTGTAATGTCACATTTTCCAGAGGCTGCAGCAGTTCTCTGCTGTCATCTTCTGCTTTGTTGTTTGTGTTTCCACTGAGGTTACATCTGTGCTAAATGATGCTGCGGGTTTCATTAGTACTTTTTGAACACTTAAGGAAGTCATTTTCTTCAGTTTGACCTCTGAATGCAGTATTGCCTTTTGCCCTGTAATTACAGCAGGTGTTGGGCTTGTTGCTGACCTTTGACCTGCAGCTGGATGTCTCTAAGTCTCCGTTCTTTCCCTCCAGCACTGATGGAGCAGGTGTAGTTGCCGCTGTCAGTCTTTGTGGGTTTCCTCAGAGTGAGGCTGAAGTCTTTAATGATGAAAGCGTAACGATTCATTGATGTGCGTCTGCTGTAACGCTGGTTTTGTCCTCTAACATCGTCTCCTCCTTCTCGTCGTTGATGTACAGATTTGGGATCGAGGTCACTGGAGGTCCACATCACTGTGTTGTCCTCAGGTATAAAACCTGAGAACAGACAGGGCAGCAGGACAGACCTTTCCCCCTCATTCACCTCCACCACCACCACAGCCAGAGCATGCTGGGAAACTGAGGACACACAAAGAGAAACTCAAATCAAATATTTTGGGTTTGACCCAGAGTTTAAATGACGAATGAAAAGTAACATTTTATGGAGGATGTACGCATGTGTAAGATAATTTTATGTGTTCTCAGACTGTTTCCTATCTGTGTGTGGATTGAAGCATGGGCTTGTGAGTCCTCAAACATAGCACACACATCGCTGCACACATTTGTACATCTTAGTTTATGCTTGGGATCATATCATCTACATCTGAACGCTTTTGAGGCAAATTTCTGAGCTGCCGAGTCACCACACAGCAGAGCAGGGAGGAGAAGATGCACAAACATGTCTTCTTTCTAATGAAGAACAGCAACACACTGAACCTACAATTAAAGTATCGATCAGATAGAAATACCAGCAATAGCATCGATATTATCGATACCTGCATCAGTCCACCTACATGCACTTTCAACCAGCAAACAAACCCTCATAAATGTATGTCTTTAAATGTTATTCTGAAGGTAACAATACGTCACCTGCATTTTCTTGGACTAAATGCCGCAACTAATTTTTGAAGTGATCAACAAGCCACAATGAGCTACTCATTAAATGGCATTTTTTAATTCCTTGTTATTTATAGTACTAAATTGTTTTCATTCTAAACTCAACACATGGTCTGCTCTGCTAATATGGAGGAACTACACTGGGAGCAAACAAGAGTGGGGCAACAGAAAGAGCCACTCATACAGGATGTTTCCATACGGTGGAGTTCAATGCTGGATAAGTCAAGAGGCTGTTTTTGCTGCTTTAGACAAACAAAAGCACAAGCTAGTCATTTTAACTCCATCAGAGCTGGTAAAACTCCAAAAGCTGGCACTTTATTTGGAAATTTTTATTATTATTATTTAAAGACAATACCATTTTGAAAATGTACTTAAAAATAAAACTGCTTTTAAGTACTTTAAGTCTGCCCAATTTTGGCAAAAGATAGTATTTTTGTTTCTCTGTTTTGAATTGAAATGCAGTCAAAATGCTTTTTTTCCCATAAATTAAAAGAGCATGAGTTTGCAATATTCATGTCCATGTCTATTATTTGATTCTGTTGCCCACTAAAACCCTTTTAAATGAAAAAAAAAAACATTTGTGCTTTGGGGCAAATTTTCTTGTGTGATCAAAGGCGATTAATCAGTATTAATTAATCACAACGCCTCTAATTAATTAGTTTTTTTTTTAATCGAGTCCCACCCCTAAAAATAAATTATGATGTCAAACGTAATAAATTACTGTGAAAGTCTCTTGATGCAGGTTATTCATTCATTTCATTCATTCATTTATTTATTTGTTCATTTCCAGGCACAACAAATACCTATATTGAACATAAAATGCACAAAACAAAAAACAAAAATTGCCTGAAAAAGGAGTGGGACGAAGAAAACTTATTAAATCCCACCCCTATACTCAGGTTATTGAGCTTTGTGTCATGATCCTGGGTCTTTTGACCCAGCGTTTTAAGTTTGAGTTTAT